TCCGCGGCTATACCGCATCCTTTAGTAGCAGCCCAGACAGCAAAGTTTAACTGCTGCGGCCAATACCGCATGTTGGGACCTGATAGCCATTCTCTGGATTCTCCCCCTGAGGTATGTTTCATGGCGGTTTCTCTAAAGATGTCTCTGACTTTTGTCTTGAAAGTCGTAGGGCCCACGGGRATTTCTAAGGAGGTAACCATCTTAGCAAAGTCTTCCGCATCTTTGTTGTCGTAAAATGGATATTTCTCCGTCGTCGGCATCAGATACTTTGGAAAATTAGGTTGTGGCGTGGTCTTACGAATGGATGGTTTGGCTCTAAATCCTCGTTGCTGTACATTCTGGAGCCTTTATAGTAAATCCCATCAGGTCTTCTTTCGAACTTACTAGGGTCTGCATGCGGAAACATCTTCCTAAAGGCCCTCCAGTTGGTATAATCCCGGTTGTCGTGATGTGGCTGCTCTTGTATATCATTTCCAAAAGCGTCGTACATTAGTATATATAATGGATGTTATACCTTCAGCACCTCAGTTGTATCCAGATGTTCCTAATTATCGCTCTACCATTAAGGATACAGGTCCTAATGAACTAAACGCTGAAAACTTTCGTCTGAATAAAGCTAATCTAATCCTCGCTTACTTAGAGGGTCAAACGAAGCACTATGAGGGGGTTAGGAAAAAGTACGCCAGAGCTCGAAGTATACTACATAAAGTCGCAGTAACTTCCGGCTCCATGTCCGTGGCGTTAACAGGCACTGGCGTTGCTACTTCGCTTACTGGGCCGGGGATAGTCGTTGGCGTTCCTTTGGCTAGCGTTGGAGCCGTCTGCGGTATCGTTTCCGCTGTTACGACAGGCATTATGAAGCAATTGTCCAGTAAAATATCCAAGCATGATACTCATATAGCTCTATCAAAAGCAAAGGCTAACACAATCGTCGACCTAGTCTCCCAAGCTTTGCGGGACCGCCGCATAGACAACGTGGAGTTCTCTTTGATACTCGCGGAGGAAAAGAAATACGAAGAGCTAAAGTCTGGTAATAAAAAAACCATCGTAAAAGATCTTTCCGAGGAATCTCGCAAAAAGATCTACCAGGAGGTAAAAGAGGAGCTCCAAAGAAAGCTCGATCGTTAAATATCAATTTCGAAAAGAACGTAGGTGGATTCCGCCTACATATCGAACGGCAGTCTTGAAATTGCGTTATCTCCTTGGAATCCATCCTAATATAGGGTGGTTAGGATCAATTTCATGAAATATTTCGTAAATTACGTCGGGGTAATAAGGAATATCCTTATTTAACCTACAAAACATCCACTCGGCTCTGCTCATATCAGGAACCTCGGGAATAGACTTACCTGTAATTTCAGATAAAAGATATGGAATAGCTTTGTAATATTTCCCTAGCCTTAGTTTTTTCAATGCCTTTCGTAGACATCGTGGCGTTGTCTCTTTTAAGTGGCTCACGATTTCTTCCATTACTCTATTATCTAAATATACCGGTCGATAACCTTGGATATAACTCATCCAGTCCCTAAAGTACTTTATTCTCTTGTATTGCGTCTTCTTACGTCCTCCGTTTGCGTAATACTGCTCTTTAGTAGCATTTGGTACAGCATTACGAATATCCTTACCACACTCGTAACACTGCGCCGATGTGTCGTCTTCTATTCGCATTTTCTTGTCACAACAAACGTACTCATTAGGTGGTGGGGTAACGAACTTGGGTTTCAAGCATTTTATACAGAAGTCATAGATGAACTCCTTACATTCTTCGCACTCCATATATGAATTAACATATTTAAGTGCGCTGTTGCCCCCACGGGTAATCCTGGTGGTCTCATAGGGATTAGGGTTACGCAAACGCGGGTTGGTGACTTTAACCGGGTAATCCTCGGGTTGCCACTGCGTTAGAACCCCCATTCCCTATACTACTTCGTATATACCTATTTCAAAAAGGTTGTCATCGCCAAAGGCAACAGGAAATGGGTGATAGTCGAAAAGCGATAGGAGATAGGTCATTCTAAGATTCAAGAATAGCTGGAATGACTTGTGTTTCTGCTTCTTATTCTCGTCAAGAACATGGACCTTAGTATTGAGACTGATTCAATATTCTTTGTATTCAACGAAACCATTTCCATGTCGGAATGACGCCTATCCCCTATCGCCTTTGTCGATGATACCCGGCTTTTTAAAATAGCTTCTTGAACTTCTTTTTCATATTTTTCTATTCTCGTTTATCACAATTTCATTTCTACTGTCTTCTTCTTCCTAAAGACTCTCTTTTTCATCGTGCTATCTTTTTCCTATAAAACGTGCTGGTATTTTAATTTTTGATTTCTTTTCAGGAATATTATCATCTTGTTCCTCGCCATCGTCTTTGTTCTCTATTTCCTCATTTTCATCGCTTTCTTGTTCTTTATTCTTCATATGCTTTCCTTTCATCAGTTGCCGTAACTGGTCATCATCATCATCGTCATTGTCATTGTCATCTCCGTCGTCGTCCACATTGTGATGATGTCCCTTTACGATTTGTCCTCGCTCTAAGATAAACACCCGGCAAAATAGTTGGTTAAAGGAGAGATATATTTGGGGGGGGGGGTATTAAATTTTGTTAAAGTAACAGAAGACGAGGATACTACTTGAGGATAACGAGTGCGTTATACTAAAGGGGTAACATCCAAGGCAGTGAAGGCTCAGTAATGCAATTATAATGCCGGCAAATTGCCCCTAAACCTCCAGAGTAAGAAAGCAATGCGTTCGTGTTCAGTTCGCATCTTTATTTGTTTGACTTCATAGCTGCCATGTTGGTCAAATGCAACATCTTTTATTCCTTTTTTAGTCATGAAGCATGCATGGTGGCATGACCGCCATGGCTTTCGTATTTATCATATTTTCATTGGAATATGAATGTCTCTTGAAAAACACGAATGAATCGGCAAAGGCTGCTAATACCCCCGGAGACTCTTGGGTGCTGCAACCATGGATTCATTTTCTGGACTTGCGGTAATATGTACTCAAGTAAGTAATACATGGGTGCACATACCACTGCATTGCTTGTACACTCTCTTTTCTATGTTGACAAAGACAGGTTTGCACTCATGATCAACCAGACATCTTGCTGATGGCTCTGATTTGCACATGGCGCTGCTGCATGGATTATGGCCACAGATGTATCGGGCAGCTACCTTAAACACACCTTTGAGGTAAAAACAGTTTAAATGTCATATGTAAAGTGAAAAGTAAAATAGCAACGGCATACATTGATCTTATGAACTACGCCAGCGAGCCCGTTGTGCCCGCGGACATTTGTGCCTGTCATGCGCGCGCGCCCGCGCCAGTGACGCCTGTTCATTACTGTTGTTATTGGTCGGCCATCT